CAGGTTCCGCTTCAAAAAAACTGGCGGCCAACGATCAAGAGGATGGTGGACTCTTGAAGTATATGCGATGTTGACATTGCCACGTATTTTTCATTAGATTTAGATAGACTAAAGAAGTTAATAAAAATAGCATCAAGTATAAACTTTGACGTGTTTGACATCCCACTAAAAAAGGGAGTTTCTATGACGCCTTCCCGATATAGAAAATTTCATAATAGCTGGGATCTTTTTCAGAATGACTTTTTAATACCATAAGCATCGAAGTGAAAGGACGCTACTACTCGGGAAGTTGCCCTTTTATCTGAGGTTTGAAGACTGCTAAATATCATGCTGCTTCCTACCGAACGTCGCTTTGCCAGATTGAATATAATACGTATAAAATAGCCCTTGAAAATTTGTCTTTATCGATGGTGATAATGCTCTGAGTGATTGCACTGAGTAACAAAATAAATAAACCAATTAAAATTTTAATTAGACTAATAAAAAAATTTTGTCAACTATGAGACAGCCGACAAGCTAAATTCGTTTAATTAAACTACAATTTATGAAACAGTTTTCTTGTATCTATGAAACTAGTTTAATTAAACCAGAACGTTCCCATAACTTGAGTACACCAATTTATTTAAAATCAATCGAGTATCAAAATGAGCTTACCCACTGCAAGTAAAATAATTTAATTATATTTATTAAATTTAGATTTAAAAGTATTTGGAGTTTAAAAGGTCAAATTGCCTTTTCTTGAATGATGTTTATTATAACTGCGCTTTGACAAATCTATGACATCAATGAATTTTGAAACCTTGGTACTGATTAATATTTTTGAATCAAAATGAAAACTTCCGAATTTGATAAATCTTAATTAATTTCGATATTTTTTCTTCAATTGATTGCTAACTTCTTATATAAGGAAACAAGTTTTATCAATTATTTGTCAATGAATTTTGAAACCTTGGTACTGATTAATATTTTTGAATCAAAATGAAAACTTCCGAATTTGATAAATCTTAATTAATTTCGATATTTTTTCTTCAATTGATTGCTAACTTCTTATATAAGGAAACAAGTTTTATCAATTATTTGTCTGATTGCTCAGAAACAGGTTATACTATGTCACCATTCACTAGAAGAAATTCTTTGTTCTAAATTTACAAAGTATGATAAGGGATACCTGAACCTGAATCAGGCCACTTGATCATGTATACTTTTATTCCTAATAATGAAACAATACTGCACCTGACTTTAAACAAATTAGGATATTTTCAAATACACTCTGAATCAACAGGATGTTCCATTTCCTATATTCATTACACAATATAAGATAAAAGCCTATGTTAAACACATATTTGGTATAAATGCAATTCATTGACCTAAATATGGCTGCATAAATAATGCTATTCCCATTCCGTCATGTCAGCAGTGACTCCCCAATAGAGACTGTTTCATTGGAACCGAGAAATATTCTAACCATGGCCAATTTCTTTGATCTCTTATTTTGCAAAGATTTTTGAAATACTACTGAAGGATCAGCTTACCTATCACCTTGATTCAAACTAACGTTCAAACCGCCTTTTTAATAAAAGGCAATTTGGATTTATGCGCATCAGATTTGAAAACGATTTACATATCAAAACAGACCTTTTCGATCTGTTAAATGCTTTCGACTGTGTTCAGCATACTATTTTAATGAAAAAAAAAAACATTTTACCACATATATCCTGGTAGTATTAAGATCTTAGAATCATATCCATCTGACAGGGAACAACCAGTGTATTTTAATGGCTATACTTTCGACACACCAAAGCAGTAGTCCATGGAGTTAGTCAAGGATCCCTTCTTGGACCATTGCTGTTCTTATTACATATAAATAATATTCCTAACAGCTTGTCAATAGTGAATTGTTTTTATATGCTGATGGCCCCACTTTGGTAAGTTCTGATATATGTACAAATTAATAACCGTCAAGAATATCGCATTATGCAAGTCCGACCTTCGTGACTGGTTTTCTGCCAATAAGCTCAAGCACTAAATGCTGATAAGACTCAGTCGTTAATATTTAGCCTACGCAGTCATGAGTTGGAGTCTTCAAAGTTTGTGAAATTGCTAGGTGTGCATATTGACTGCACTCTGACTTGGGAGATTCGATATGTTGTGGATAGTTTGTCCAGAGTTATCTAACGTAGTATCTGTCAAAGTGTTATTGACCAGTTATGCATATTTACACTCCAAAATGACCTATGCAATTTTGGTGTGGAGGCACTATCCATACATGCAAAAAGTTTTTGGCATGCAAAGGCGATGTATCTGCTACATGACGGGCTTGAAATATAGATATCCCTGCAAGAATGAATTCGTCAAATGAAGGATACTGACTCTACCATGCACTTATATTTTGAGTTGCTTGTTGTAACATACGTGAAAGGCAACTGTAGACTTTTCTCCACTCACAGTGATTTTTACTGTTACGACACTAGCAATAGAGGTAATATTTGCCCTAATCGCCATCGCGTTTACAAAACCAGAAACGGGGCAAATTTTTCTGTTATTAATTTTATTAACGTGTTACCAAAACCTGTCAAATCGGCCGAGAATTGATGCTTTCCACAAGAAACTCAAAGACTATCTAACAAAAAAGCATTCTTTTGTATCGATGAGTATTTGGCAAATAACTTTAATGGTATGCTTTTGTAAATGTTCGTGTTCGTGTTATTTTTTATTTTAGTGGGTGTCGCGTTTCCGCATGTGTTAATGAGCATCTGTCTCATTTTTCCGCTTGTGTGCATATATTTATTATACTCTCCCGCATTTGCGGCTGTGTCAATGTCCTTACTTGTTTTACTGTTTCGCTTTTGCGCTTGGTCTGTATGTCTGTATATGTTATAGTTTATTATTCTTGAATTTTAATTGTTTTCTAAATGCCACTCAAGGCAGACATGTCTTTTTAGCATGTACTTCTTTGACGTGTGTAAACACATTTGTGTAGTAACACCACGGCTGTAGATCACAAAGTGCCTTATGCTCTAGTATGTTGATTACCATAATTGATCTACTTCAAAGCTTACTAGACCAATAACGGCCACATTCGAATATGAAGCTCCTTGCGAAAATCACAAATGAAACTGAGGGGTTCGAAGCGCGTCACCGGAACTGCACCTGTCATACACTCCTGATCATTCACGAATGAAGGGCAGAGTCCGCGGTTAAAATAAACAGTGTTTTTCAATATTTAATTGTTTTAAATCTCCCTTTTCTACATAAACTAAATTGCATAACCTAATTAGACAGTTTAATAGAACAGATACATGGTTTGCTATTTTCAAGCAAATTACTTTAATAGTATATTACTTTCAATTAAACTTTGCCAGAAAATTCAGTTTAATCGTACCAACATGATTTAGTTACTCATAATAATTTAAAAAGTCATTACGGGTGATCAAAATTTTCCAGAGCAACTGTTTACTTGAGCACGTTTTTTCAGTATGATCATGATGGAATCAATAAGCCATCAGCCATCGCACACCAAAAAATAGTTTTTTAATATCACTTTTTCGTCATCCGCTATGAAGCAACGTTTGAAAGCAGCCGGGTAACAAGGAACAAACTGTCATGCTGCATGGACTGCTAAGATCAACATTTTCAATTTTTGAGTTGATAAGAGAGAAAGATGTAACTTCTTTGTTCCAACCTTTCAATTTAGGGGTTACATTTCAACAGAAAGACTTTAATCGTCGCTGAAAATGACCAGGCGATAAAAAGTTTCATGACAACAGAGAGCAGTTGGTTCAGTTTTGATGTCAGAAACCACGAAAATGACAAATGAACAAATGTGATTTGATTTGGAAGGTGACTGCAATCCATTATTGTAGAGTAGTTTCGGGTAATATGGAATACCATTTTCATTTCTCTCAATTACTGAAAATATAATACACCTTTTCTTCTGAAAATTTGTTGAAACACTTATACGATGTTACCTAACAATTGCTTACCACCAGATCAACTGAAGCAAACCTCATTTTTGTGTAGAGAAAAATACTTTCCAATTAGTTATTTTTATCTGTCAAACAAAAGAGAAGTATAATATGGAATAGGTATATGGGGTAATATGGAATAGGGTAAATCATACGAAAAATAAGAAAAAGCAACTTTAATTCTTCACGTTAGGTAATTTAACAAATATAAAACAAATTAGATAGACCTTAATTTTATTTGCAAAAATCGCAAATGTAGATATCACCTTCACAACTTGTGCAAGCTTCATGAGCCCATCCGTTACAAATGACACATTTCACCCATACCTCTCTGCTTTTACTCATCGTGAACATCTCTTGACAAAAAATACATTCCGTCGTGTCATCAGCACATTGCTTGGGACTAATATAAGATGACAGGGGGAGATCATCTTCATCAGAGGAGTTTGCGGGAACGGGTTCTGAAGAAGATGTTAATGATGAAGATGATGTTGATGGTGAACGTGCTTTTCGCTTTTTCTTCACAGATTGTTCAAGAGAACTTGGTCCTACTTCATTGACTAGTCTCTTAGTAAATTTCTCACGTGAACGATTAACAGATTCCTCTAACTCATCTTTATTCGGAGTTGAGGTTACTACCCTTGCACGACCAGGTTTTCTTCCTCTCGAGCCTATTTTTTTTTCAGTTGTGGTATTGGTGCGATATCCTTGGGGAGAATGTTTGGTGAATGACATAGCGCTGGTTCATTATTTTCTGGAAAATCTGATGTGACAGGATGGGGCACATGATGTCTTTGCTGTTCGGCTAAGAAGTCTTCATCGGAGAAAACATCTCGTCGAAAGGGGTAAATGCCAGTTGTACTGAATCCCTTTATTGACCTCTCCGCAGTTTGGATTTTTGTATAGGCTCTTCCAAATAACTCGCCCATATCAAAATGTGTTACGGCTCTATTATGTGCCCGCATAAATAGCCTTAATTCCTCATTGTAGAAAGTTTTCAGGGCACCCATGACTGTTTTATCCAGAGGATGCATTTTATGCGATGTATGAATTTTCTCGGGCTTTTATGACTACGTCAATATTTCGAGTGTGAGTGTGATGCCTACCTAAAATAAGAAGTACTGGACTGTCTTTGGTGGGGTTTGTCCTTTCCAAAAGATGGTCAAACCATTTAGTGAAGAGCTCAGTCTGAATCCATCCCGAGGGGTGAAACGCAAACAAAGTGCCCGGAGGAGCTCCTTTCTTAAGCTGCTCACTTGAATTTTTGCGAGGGAAAATAATCATGGGTGGCACGAACCCTCCTGCTGCATTCATACATAAAACTGCAGTCACTAAGGAGCCTCGCTCGGCCGACGTTAGTACACCTACTTGTCATTTACCTCTTTTTGAGACAACTTCGGGACATTTGGATTGTACAATACATAACCCCGTCTCATTAACATTGTAAATCCTGTCACAATGAAAGTTTTTTCTGTCATAAGTTTCTCAAGCAGGTTAAAAAACTCATTGACGTCTTCCTTATTAAAACCGAGAGCCCTATTTAGAGAAGTGCCAGTTGGTTTTCGAATGCTCAAAGAAGCTTTGTGCCTTTTCATAAAACCATACAACCAGTCTTTTCCAGCTGATTCCCGTAAAAATGAAAATGGATGTGGAAGGCGTCGAGCCAGCTGAAACGCCATGGATCGCAAATCTTTTCTGGTTAATCCATAACACATTTGATCCATGATCAACAAATACTTCACTAGTTCTGTTTCCAATTCCGGTGGCAAAGCTGTTTTTCGGCCTAATGTAGTACTGCAAACAGTATCAGGAGAACCTTCTTTATTGCACAAGCGATGAAGTGTTGCTCGTGGAACGTTATAACGTTTTGCAGCTGACAAATAGCCCAACCTGTTACTTTTAACATCTTCAATTGCTTTGCGCATATCATCAGACTGCCATTGCTTTCTTTTTCTCGCCGACATAGTTTCTGCAAAAAAAAACTTGTTTCATACGCAAAACGACCCAATTAAGCTTTTTGTCTCTTCACAAATATCGTTAAATCTCAAAACAAAAACATCGGGTAATATGGGATACCTAGAAGCAGTATAATATGGAATATTCCATATTACCCGAAACAGCAACTGAGGAAAAAAATACACGCTGCAAAAAAATATGGTAACAGCCCTCTAAAACAGTAACTTAACATTTGAATAGACTCACCTGTCAAAATAAGCAAGATTTGTAAATAAATAACACCTTTACAAAAATTCTAATGACTATCGTGCACAACTTTGTAACCACAAATACTGCTTATTTGCGGTTTATAAACTAGAGAACGGCAACCAGCGAAACCTGTCGACGCTATTGTGTATTTAGGGTGTAAAAGAGGCTGGCTTAGGTATTGAAATACAGATGTCGCTACCTACATAAAAATAAGAAGCTATTCCATATTACCCGTACTATTCCATATTACCCAAAATTACTCTACTTATTTTCCGAGCTGCTCAAAACCTTCAACATCAAAATTAATGGGGTCAAAGCTAAAATGCCACGCCCAGGCTTGGCGGACTATATCGCAGATTGAGCTCACATTTCTTTCCTGAACTACTATTTCAGGGTCCAAAGTCGAACAGCTCGACCTGGAGACGCGGTTAAGCTCAGAGAAAATGTGAATCCGTTTTGGTAACATTTTGATTTTCTGGCAATTATTGTATCTGGAAACTATTAGGCCCCATAACTTATGACTATACTAAAGTAAAATTGTCCAAGAAACTCAAAAGTGGCTTCTAAATCGTAATTTGGACAATTAGTTTGTCAGGATTTTAAATCAAAAGTGGTTTCTTTGAAATGTCTCACCGGTCGAATGCCTTTTGAAAGAGTATCCACAAAAACTTTTTCGTAAATGCGAAACACATCAATTTATTCCTCTATACATAAATTGAATTTTGTGCTAGGGCTTTAAATTGGGCATTTTCATCATACTAGAGGGCTGGGCTTGTCACATATCGGGCCCAATTTTTTTCTGACGAGAACCTATGGATGCATGACACTTCGAGAAATCTGTCTTGGTCAAACGGTTGGTTATGGAGATGCGTTCAAAGTTTCAAGGTTCGAAAAAATGTAAATTTCTGCCATTTCCGTAACATTTCCATTTTTTCGATACTTCTGTCATCGTAAAGCACAAGGGCTCTTAATATACAACTATTCTCAAATAAAATTTCCAGACGAATTAAAAAATGGCATTCAAATTGCGATCCGATAATTTGATCGGCAGATATTTCATCACTATATGAACTGAATTTTGTTTTCGGTCCTTAAAGTTGGTCAAATAAGGCTTTAGAGCCAATTTTCGATATTTTGTGTCAATATTTACCATTTTCATCATGCTGGAGAAGGTATATGGATGTTATTGGAGATTGATCTAATTACAGAGGTTAACTTTCTTAGAAATACATAAATTCATTGCTTAAAGTTCGTTGACTAATGCAGGTTTTAAGAAATATATGCAAAATGCTAATAGTTCAGTATACAGTGTTAAGATGAGCATTGTGATTCCAAAACCAGTCAAAGCTACAGTGTTGGTTGAACTACATATTATATAATATGAGCATCTTTCACATGCAGTTTATAGAATTTGGCTGCCATATTGAGAAAATTATAATTTCAATGGTAAATTTTTGAGCCAGAAAATTGGCACTTAGTGGTATGTATTAAAAATCATGTAGGTAGTGCAAGATATCATAAACTTTTATTTTACTGATTGCTATCACTAGTTTCTAATAGATTTATTAACGTTAGTTATTTGTTTTAGGAAAGCATCCTGTTTTAGATTTTGACAACGAGAAGAGGCTAGTAAAACACATTCTTAAACTTGGTGAGGCAGGATTTCCTCCAAATAGGCAAGCTATATGCATGTTAGCTTATCAATTTGCTGAAAAACTAAATCTGAAACGTAATTTCGACTACGATAATGAAATGGCTGAAGGCGCATGCCTCAAAAGTTTTATTGAACGAAATCCGGAACTATCTACCAGACAAGCTGAAGGTTTATACTGATACTTAATATAGGTACGAATAGTTTATAACAACAATTTAGAATTTATGTTTTTTGTTGGTTAAATACTTGTAAAGTGGATTTTACCAAAAAATATGATTATGAATGTTGTAACTTGAGAATTTATATGTTAATTAAACAAGCCCTCTAAAATATTTAATAAGGGTTCCTAATTTGTGTGATATTAATATTATCTTCTAATTATAACAATAAAAATATTAAATAAAAACAAAATGTTTTCATAATTATGACCCATGTTTCTTGGAGACAATATGCTGCTGTTTTAGGAGTAGAACTTCTTAACATTTGGTTTGAGTATTTTGTATACAGGATATGAAGGGCATCTATCCTGCACTATAGGCATCTATCCTTTTTAGTTTTTTGGCGGGGCAACTATCCATATAGATAGGCATCTATCCTCAAAAAAGAAGTTTCACGAAAATCGGATTTCTGCGAAATCTGTAATTGATAGATTCAAAACTGATGATAGTTATTCAACATAAGGGATTGAACTAGCTACATTCATAGAATTTATTTGTATAAAGTTAATAGTCTTAAAATTAGGTAAATATTTCAAAAAGAGGGGCATCTATCTCGGTTTTACCCTAGAGCGATAACCTGATCCTTTTCTTCAACCAGAAAAATTAATTTTCTAGATTTTCTGTTTCGGCAGACATTCCAACTGTAAGCCCAAGAAAACAATCGACAATTTAAAAAAAAACACTTTTACTGAAATATCTGTCATTTTTTAATTATCTAGGCAATTTTATTTCGGAGTAGCCACATATTGCGAAGCCTGATTCTTTTCAATGACAGAAGTAGAGAGAAAATGGAATTGTTGCTAAAGAGGAAGAAATTTACATTTTTCTTTAAATCCTGAAACCTTTAACGCGTGTCCAGAGCGAACCGCTCGACGTAGAAATCTAAAATTTCACAAAGTCTAATGTCTCCTCAAACAAACAAAAAAATTATGCCCGATATAAGACATGACCCGCCGTCTATAATATGCCAAATTTTCCTTCAAAATATTGAAAATAGGATCCAAAGAAGACCTATTCGACTAATTTAAATGTTTGAGTACATCAGATAATTCACGAGGAGATCGGCCGAGCCTTCTACTTGACAAAAAAAAATAATGATTTTGTGTATTTTTCTTATCGGAAGGTATTAGAATTGTCAGCCCAATAAAGCAATGATAAATTTCGAAAAAAATCTCTTTTGTCTGAAACATCAGCCAAACAAATGATCGAACCGTAATTTGAGATGCATGGACAATTTTATTTCGGAATAGTCATACATTATGATGCACTCCAGGGACATAAATTACGAGAAAATGGAAAAGTTGCCAGTACGCTAAAAGTTGCATTTTCCCAGCTTTGAAGGTAAGTAGATACCCTCAAATTTTTTAAAGCTTCCTCTTTTTCAGAAAAAAATGGTGAGTCGAATCTGAGACATAATACCATTTTATCTGCTATTCAACTGAATAATAGCAAGGGTAGCATTGCGACGGTATCTACTGTCTATAGAGGAATGAAGAGCTAAACGCGACAACACTGCGGTGGTACCTGTCTTCAGCGCCCGCACCGCGTTGCGTTGGCAGTACCTGTCGGGCTTGGCGATCATAGTCGACCGAGCGAGAGAGAGAGAACCACCACAGTTCACAGAACCCACTGCACTGTGGTACCATCCGTGAATCCAATTTTGTTCTGTAGCTGTCGCGTCGCCGCGGTATTACGAGCTTGCGTTAAAGGGTTGAACCACCTCCGTCGCGTTTGTACTGGTACTCCCTGCATCTTGTGAGATACTGTGGTACCTAATTCTTGGATTAGTTGCGTGGAGATACATTGCTTTATCCTGGATTTTTGAACGAAATGAATTCTGCTTGGCTTTAAGGTAGGTGTTTTGACTTTGATGCAGTATCAAATGATTACATATGGTTCTTCGTAAATAAATATGATGATATTATCGAACTTAACATTGTTTGAAAGTTCAAAAGTCCAGATTTAGTCTAAACTATACTTTTAGGTCACAAATGTTTCAAAGATATATCATGCGTTTAAAGTAAAAGTGTCGAAGGTTAGAGGAACAAGTTTAGTTAAGAAAAAAAAGGACTGGAAACGTCTCAACAACATTGCATAAAAATCATAGATAAGTTATAGGCAAATGACTGGATGCTTCGCCTGATTTCGCAGTCTCTCAGCTGAATTTTTTGATGAGGCTTGTTTTCCATAGGGGTGCTAATGACGACACATTATTTTCTCAAAAATGGACGACTAAGTCGAAAATATCAGGTACAACTCCCTAAAAAAGTGTCTACTGAAAAGTCGTGACTTGTAACTTAAAGATCTGGTAGCAGATCTCTTCAAATTCTTATCATTGAACTTAAATGCTGAAATGCTAATTAATAATTCAGGAAATTTAAGCAAGTGCTTCCAATATTTGCATCTACAGCGAGGGTTGATGTTGCAACGCATCGCTGAAGTCTCCAGTGACAACATTCTTCAAGATGAACCAAGTAACAAAATGTCGCTATTTTTAAAATAGAGGGTATCACAAAGTTAATCCTCCAAGCAGTGTTCATTCACTGTTAGCGACTTGACCAAACATCAAGTACCATATTTTTTTTCCGTCTCGTTCCGCTCATCGTTGGTGTCATCTGTCCCAAGAAGTGTACCTACTCTTTTAATATGAATGAAGCATGTCTTAAAAAGAATTTAATGGCTCAGGGATCGGGAGCCACACATTTTAGCGCCAAAAATATAATGGTTCACACTGCATCATCAGGTGAACAGGTTGTAGGTGCAATGCTCGGTGGCCAAAATGTGGAATCCTAGATGGGCTCGTATGCATAACAGCTCGCAGCCAAGGTATCGTCAGACAAGGCCAGATTCAGGCGGGGGAAGGAAACGTTAAGGGAAGGGGGCACCCATCTCATCTTTCAGGTGTAGCAAGGTCATTTTTACACCAAGATACACCAATATATAGGGTACTCAAGGTAAGGATCCTATTCATGAGGATCTCAATACAGCTTAGGTTAACTTAAGAAAAAGGTGCGTTCTTTGGGGCGTATTTACATGACTTGTAAAATTCCATGACCTAACGAGATATTTGCGAAAAACTAAAATTTGGCTTTATACCTAATAAAACATATGTAGTGACATATCATTGATTTCGTAGTAAAGATGCTACCAGGTTGTATTTTTTCCGGAAATGTTTCTGTCATGTAAATTAGCCCCCAAAAAAACGCAGCTTTTTCTTATTTAACCTAAAATGTATCTCCCACAGGCATTGAAATCCTCATGTATAGGATCCTTATCTTGAATAACCTGTATATCATTTTCGTGAAAGAAAAAATAGCAGACTTGGGTGTTTAGGGGGGGAGGTATCGAATTCCGATATGCTTTATGAATACATTAAACGGATGGCGGTACAGTTGACAAAAGGAACAATATACTATGAAAATACTAGTTCTAAGCTAACAATGGCATCCACGCTCATGACCGCCCTCGCGACTTGATGTTCGACAGGCGAGTCCTCCACTATCATCTCTCAACACACGTTGAGATCACCACAGTGCTGTCTCACTCCAATGTTCGTCAAATCACTACAATTATCCTTACTCTTCTTGAGCTCCGCGCGGCATCTCCAGATTCACCGTGGAAGTGGCTTCCGGCAAGTCACTCCAACTCTTGTAACAATATAGAAAATACTTCAAGAAGGTATCCAAAAATTAATCTCCTGATCATTGACAGTTAAGTAATGCTACTTAAAAATATAATTTCTATGCAAGTACCCTCATTATTTTCGATTTTCTTTCAAGATGCTCAGGATAACAGAGCCTTAAGCAGTATGATCGTTTTCTGCAGAGGTGGCCTGCTGAACCTTTACCTTTAACACTAAAGACAAGGTCAGTTCTGGTCCGTCTGGTAGCTCGAAAAAGACGTGACCCTGGCAAAAGCGGTGCATCAGGTAATAGGGCTCCACCGAAAGTAAGTTTGTTGTCGATGTTCGGCTTTTACCACAACCTTCGGCCGGAGACAAAACCAGATTAAAACTGTGATTGTCTTATAAATATAAAGTGGCTGAATAACGAACGTTTGTGTGATTGACTCTGTGTCTTATAAGTGGTAAAATCGGTCTTAATATATACAATATTGATTCAAATCTGTTAGAATTAGACAAAAAGTGATAAGTCATCCCTAATAGAAATTCTAAGAGATACTGAGTTAGCCAAACTGGAGCAACATTCACATAAACAGGTACAAGTATATAAGACATATAAAAAAATGTACAACTCAAACCATTTTCGGGATTAAGCTGAAAATTCCTGAAATCATCAAACTTTTGTGATGCACGGTATGTTACGGTAATGAAAATTGCATTATTTGACGATGTGAACCGTACAATGCAAAAACAATTGCATTTGGATAAGACATTTGGAAACAGCATTTACACAGCTATGTACTCATGAAATACGCGATTCCATGAAATATTTTGAAAATTATACATTGCAATAAAGTTCTAAATAGCTAAATAACTCATTCAGTTAAATAGATAAAGTCCATTTCCAGAATAATTATGGAGTGAATTTTTAACGAAAACTAATATGTGTCCACAGTAAACAAACCGCCGTATAGTAAACTAGATTTTCCATCTTCGTATGTTTGTCCTGCACGATTGAACATTGACAAAATAATACACTGGTAATAACTCAGGCAACTAAGGCATTTCAGTTTCTAATCCGTTTAAACAAAGAAGAGCGTCTTAGAGGCCATATTTGTATATGGCAACCTTCCAGGGCACCTTTTCGAAAGTGTTTCAATTGCCCCTAAATTCGCCAAGATCATGCGCATTTGAGTTTACCCAATCATCTAGTTGACATTCCTAAAGGTTACTGCAGATTGCTAATCTATCCCTCATGAATATTTTTCCGAAATGCTTGAGGAATTTTAACGGAGAAGTGATCTCTGATGCAGACAGTTTTGTTGGTCAGGTTTTTAGTTTTAGTATTGGCTTTTGGGCTCGACAAAAAGATCCAAAGGTAGCTTAGTTGCCAAGCTTCATGTCCAATGAAGACTACTACGGCTTGACTTTGGGATGACAAAATTAAGGCAAGAATATATTATTACGTAAACATAACAGTTGAAAATTTCAAGATGGTCATATTGTATAATTTTTT